CCCATTTTCACTGCTGATAATGTCTATTTTGTGGATATCTGTAATGGCATTTTTACTAGTAGATATATAGATTGGTTTTTCATTTTGATTTATTAAAAGCAACAGCTTGATTGTAAATGTTTGAAATGGGAATACGTCCCTGTCTTTTTATTCTACTGCAGACATAAAAAAAATGTATCAAAAAAATGTGACGAGGAGGGGTTGTATTAAATCTGCAGTATACTTGATATCTAGTCCAGCTATTAAATGTTAAAACAGCCACTCATGATTTTTAGATATTGTTTATATATAATTTAGAGGAGAGAGGTTGTTCAGAGCTTGCAATACGATTTTTACTGGTAAGAAAGTTATGGTGGATATCTTAAATTAACACTGTGGTGAGTAAACATGCACTTTTGATTGGAGAAAGTCTATCATGGTTATCTAAAAATGTATCACAAAGAGGAGTGTGGTTCAATTAAATGATAAAACAATCTTGAAATAACCGCATCAACTGGGCTGCCCGAACTGGAGACTATGCATGTCAGTAATCAAATTAAACAGCCAATCAAAGGTAACGATCAGTATTTAAAGTGACCAATTAAAAGATCAGAGATGTCAGCTGTCCCCCAATCCAAAGTCTCAAATGAGCATTGCACAGTTATGAGCATATCGGGATGGTTGAGCTCACATATATTAATTCCCCGTTCTTGTGGGATCACATTTGTGCACGGAGGAGAATTGCTCTCTTACACGAATGAGTTGTGACAATAATAAATGCCATAAACATACGTTTAAATGTTCATATGGGAGACAACGGTCATCATCTGCAGGCTGCGTTGTGGTCAGTGCGAACCAGCAGTGTCTGCCTGTAACAGCTGATCCCAACCACTGCTTGATCATATCTGTTATCAGTGATCAAACACACGGACAACAACGGCACGAACAGAAAACAAACAACTGGCCAACACCGGGGGCTGTCATGGAGAACACAAACACACAGTCCTGAGTGTCGGACCGCAGAGCCCCCTCTGGAGCTTAGCTGTGACCGCGGCACATTTAACAGTGGTAGCCCTGTGCTTCTCTAAGAGGCAGAAAACACCATCGCTAATCATAAGTCCCTCCTCAGCAGCTCAGCAGCTCTCTCATTATGGGACACTAGCAGCTTTTGTGCCCTGCTCAGGAAAGTTGGGGGTAATAGCTGTGGGTGTGGGGGTAATCCTCACGCTTTTGAGCCAGTTTCCAAACCCTGATTGGCTTGGCAGAGAGACAGAGACACTGTGAGCAGCAGGGTTTGTGTACGAGTCTGTAAGCGAAGGCGAGGAAGCGAGGGCAGGGAGAGAGAGAGAGAGAGAGAGACAGAGGGATGGGAGAAAGATGAAGCACGGGCTCCAGAAGAGAGAGAGAATCTTAGAGAGGTGGAATAATGGAGGGATGAAGCATCAGCCAGATGGAGGGGGAGAAAGAAAGATATGAATAGGTAGAGAGAGCATGTGCAACACACGCACGTGCCCGTGCATGTGAAGTGTGTGCATCTGCTCGCTCGCCTGCTCTAGTGTGTGAGCGCAGCAGACTGAGTAAACCTCCCTTTATTTGCTGTAAGGATTAAGCGGACAGCTCCGACACATGCACATTCTCGGGTTTAACGCCGCGCCACAATCACAAGCAGGGGTGTGAGTGAAGAAATAAATAAAAAATTGTGCACACACACACACACACACACACACACACACACACACACACACTCAGCAGCAGAAATGATGAGCACATACAAAAGCTCTTGTTAAAGGCCGCGGCACAGGATCAGAAGTGAGAACAAAGGGAAGTTTAATCCTCAGCGGGCTGCTTTGAAGGCAGAGACATACTGTTAACATTTCAAGAAGACTGATTAGCAGCGGTGTCCGGCGGAAAATGAATATCTCTGATTTTGAAACTGGCGGCTGCTGAACAAATTTTCCTTCATCATCTCGGGTAGTTTCTGTGCTTCCCTGAGGCAGACCTGTGTGCTGCCGCAGTGAGGATGGAGCTTAACCCACTGTGGTCATGCGGGTCAAACGCTATCATATCAATTCCCCGGGCTTGAGTAGCTGCTAATCTCAGATAGCTGGGGACTGGATTATCCAATTAAAAAACCCTGACCCCTGAAATGACCCACGCAGCACCCAGCGCAGCGCTACATGCAACTGCCGCCACGAGCGATAAAAAGGATAACAAGTGGATGTTGGGTAGTTTTTCAGTAATTACTTTCTCCACAATGTTGCAGACAAAGTGGGTGAAACTGCACCTAAATTATTCTTTTTTTTATTCTTGTTTTTTAATCTCAATGACTTCATCGCTTCCATTTTGAATCTACACCCCCTGGTCTCAGTTCAGTTACATTTCATTTAAAAAATAAAGAATTTAAAAGGAGCAGTGGTGAATTCAAGCTTTGCAGTAGCACAGATCGGTTGATTGACTATTGTTTCTGCAATCATTTTGACATTAAACCAACTATAAATGTCAAGATTGCTGGTTCCCGTTTGGACAGATTGTCTTCCCTCTCTTTTAATACTACAATTTAAAATTGCACTAAAACTAAATGTCTTTGGACCAGTAAAACTAAGAATATGAAGACTTTAAGCTCCGATAATCAAATAAAGCACACAAACAAGTCATAAAAACTTTATTTTGTTGCACTTACATGTTTACGTCTAGACATGGGTAAACTTTCACTGCAACCATGTAATCGTGACAACAAATCTTTGTGCATATACTGTAGCTCCAAGGCCCAACAGTCCCCTTAAATTACACAAACGCATAGATATCAATTCTCTAAATGTGCCTGATTGTTTTCATCAAGATCCATGAATTATTACCTGAGAAAAATCTTAGCAACATTAAAGAAACCAACAGATGGGAAATAAAAGTTATCCTCCTTGGCAGATGCAATGTGCATGCGTCACATCTGTGTCCCGAACTTGAACTCAAATTGCAAAAAGCCCAAACATACTTCTGCAGCAGATCTGTAAAGACACAACCTGAAAATGTGGCTAAAGACGGAAACAGAGTTCTTTCTTTAATGTTGCTCACAAATCATATGCACACAAACAAATTCCAACACAAACCATCTAATTCTTTAGAAACTTGAGATATCTGTGAAAGTTACTTCAACTTATTTATTTGAACAATTTCAAATTCCATCTCTTCTTTGTTGTTTAAGTAGACAGCATCAGTCATCAGCTCTCACTGATCTGATCAGAGGAAATTGTTTTTCCTTTTAATAATCAAAAAACAATTTCAGAAGCTACCAACAGATTCACAGCGACGCTGCTGCACATCTTCACTGAGCACTGATGTTTGTTTACCGCGTTCACATCACAACAGAGGAGATTCACCCCACTCCGTCACACACACACACACACACACACACAC